GTTGTTTGTCAAAGCTTGAAAATTTAATAGAAGACTCCTAGTACATTGTTTCAAAGGTAGATGAAAAATATTAAAAATCCTTAGTCACAATTTTTTTTATAAGCATTTAAAGTTCAAAAATTGACAAAATATGGAAAAATCATGAAAATTACCAAATTATTTTGAGTTAAGAATTGGTAAAAATTATTCTTTTTAAATCTAAGAAAAAAATGACTATAAGAAAGTCAAATTAAATTTTTATGAGCGTTTGATATTCAACTTTTTACAACATTGGATATTCACTCGATTTCTCATGTAGGTAGCGATTTCCTTATTTTGTTGTAATTCAAAAACGAATAACTGTAGATACATGAAAATTTCACTGAATGTTTATATTAGCATTTCCTATACACCATACAATTTTGAAAATATTTTGACTCTTTTTGAGCTGTTTACGGACATTTACAGCTATCAATTTTTTTTAAATTTTTTTTCAATTAATATCAATAAAGTTTTATCTGTTGAGCCAAAAAGTGTAAAAATGTAATACGAGGCTCCTGATATATTGATAAAATGTTCAGTTTTTATAGCTAAGGATTGAAAATTAAAAACAAAGGTTCTCATAAATAGTTCATACTGTAACCAAAAAATCCAAAAAATATATTAACACACTTATTTTTTACAGACATTTTAAATTCAAATTTTGACGAAATTACATATTAAAAACCCTAGAATAACTATTTTAGTTTTTTTGTTGTGATTGAATAATATTATTCGTGGTTACTTGAAACTTCTAAAGTGTATTATTATATATCTATGATAGTATCACGGTTTTTGTTGATGTATAACCCGTTATAAGTACCTACCTAATGGATATTGTGATATGATATTTAATTTGGAATTTATTATAGATACATATTATAGGTCAATTTTTGGTTTAATACCATAGATATGTATACCTATAATATGTCTTATACCTAGACTGACATACCGTCTCCGCTCAGAATCGTTTTTCTTATACAATGACAATATATCGTTGAATTCAAATTTAATATCATCCATTATACAGTGACCCACTTGTAACCTACAGTACAGCAGAGCGACACCCACTTGTCCACGTTTTTAATATTTTTCATCTGCCTTTGAAACAATATAGTAGGAGCCTTGTATTAAATTTTCAAGCTTTTTTAACCAACTAATACATTTTTATTGATATTCATAGAAAAAAACTAATACAATTGGAAACTGAAAATTTCCCTAAAGAGATCAAAATAAATCAAAATATTTTGAAAATATTATCGTGTATAGAAAATGCAAATATAAACAACCAGTGAAAATTTCACTTATCTACGGTAATTTGTTTTAAAGTTGCACCATAACCTCGAAAACAGATTTGCGTGAAAATTCCCGTTTTTCCTAAATTTTTCTTTTGTTTTTCAAGCCGCTTTTGAAAACTACTGTGAAATTTTCACTTTTGACCCCCCCCCCCCAAAGTACCAACTAGATTCACTTTCTCATCAGAAAAGCTACTGTTGAAGAAAATCCAAGCACTTTTACTGTCCTAAAACGTGATGACAGACGAAAATAATGATGAAAAAAATAAAAAATTTAATCAAAAAAAAAACACACATCATTGTAAAATCAATACATTCATCGTTCCACTCAGAATCTAAAGACAAGTTTGCTTGGATTTAACGTATGTCATTATGACATTATGTCATTATCTAAGAAATATGGTGTGGGTCTCACATTTTAACACTAATTATTCAACGAGATATTATATACAGACATTTGAAAATACGCGTGTGACGTCATAGAGCAATAGGTGTCGTTGTATGTTTTATGTGTAAAAGCAGAGCTGTCTTAAGGTTTTATGGGGCCCCCGGCCAAACATATTTCGGGGGCGCTATAATACTAAATTATTATATAAACATTTTTAACAAAACAATCGTTAAAAGCCTAATATTGATAATGTTCTTCGTCATAAACTCATAACTACAAGATTATTCATTTGTATTACAAAAACTGTTAGGTAGGTAGGTATGTTAATAATATGAACCGTTAATAAATTGTTAATTTCCATTTAATTGAGTGTGTAATTTATCAATTTATTAATTATAATAATAAAGAAAATAATAAACAAACCATAGTTAGTGTAAAGTCAGTTTACTTACGTAAGACAAATTCCTTTTGAATTAAAAATTAAACGCACACTAGCCGACAACATAGGCGCAACTAGGGGGGTGCTTGGGGGTACTTCAGCACCCCCAAACTTTAATTAAGCACCCCCAGTTCCAAAACAGCAAAAATTGAAAAATCATATGAAAAAAATAGTTTTTTTTAGCTTAACTTAATGTTTTTTTTTTTTATTTCTTCGTTTTTAGCAGAAACACAAATTATTGTTTGTACCTACCTAATGATTATAGGTACCTATATCAAATATTAGAATTTAGAATTCTTTAAATTTTTTTGTAAATTTTCTGTTAGAAATTTATAAAAGTTTTTCCTTTCATAGCTAACATTATAAATGTTGATAGAAGACTCCTCACAATTGGTACTATCTTAAAAAAAAAAGTTTACTGGAAAGTAACATACTTTTTTTATGAGCGTTTGAATCTAAAATGTGTACAACATTGAACTTTCAATTTTATCAGTAAATTAACGAAATTTCATCTACCAATTTTTGATATTATATTGTCCTAGTATAGATACTTGAAATTTTTATCAAATGTTAAAATTAAAATTTTCCTTACATGGTAAAATGTTTAAACAATTTTGACTCTTTTTGAGGTATTTATAACTGAGAAATTTTTCAAATATTTTTAATTATTTTTCATTGGCAATTCATAAAATATTTTCTTTTCACAGTTAAGGCCCAAGATTAAAAATGTTAATAAAAGATTTCACATAAGTTTGTCTACCTATAAAAAACCGTATACTTAAACTTGAATTTTTTATGAGTGTTCGAACTTATAATTGTCATGATATTCGATATTCAGCGGTAAATCGAATTCTCATTAATCGATTTTTTTTGGATTTTGTTGTATTTCCAAAATGAATAACCGTGGACTCTTGAAATGTTCACCAAATATTTATATTAGCATTTTCCATACATCAAAAATTCTTTAAACACTTTTGAATTTTTATGAACTATTTATGAGAAAATTTTTCAAATTGAATTCAAATATAACACATCCACTACAACGACATTCTCAACAACTATTGTACAGAAAAGCGGTACCTACCCACTTGACCACATTTTTTTTTATCCATTTATACATCCAGGTTACTATTTTTATCACCTAAATAATATAATATACCTCATGTATTCATCAGGTATATTACTGTTGATTTACGTAAATATTAGTGTCCTTATGTGTTCATGGTGCATTTAGGAATGGTTATAGTAATTATAAAATCAAAGTATGACGTATGTTATTTTGGGGTGTGGGGGCGTAGCCCCCGCGGGTTTGTGTTCTCTACATAATTTTAGCACCCCCAGTGTTTGGCCTCTAGTTGCGCCTATGGCCGATAATTTAGATATTTATGTGGATTATCCGATTAAGCGTATGTCTTGAACTGTCAGCTTTACAGTCGACAATGACGATTGACGACGGCGTCGTCGCCACAGCTTATAAGATAAGATATTTCATATTATTTATAAATTGCACTAGCAATACTTCTAGGTAAAACAAATCGAAATTACCGATATTACGGTGCACGTCAAATTATGATATTCAGTAAATAATGTAATCTATGTGAATTTGGGCCCTTAAAATTTCGGGGCACGAGCCCGGGTCCTACGGGTCCATGCCTTAAGACGGCACTGTGTAAAAGTGTCAAAGTATTGAACTACTTTTAAACGTAAAACATGGGCGGCTAATCACTCGTCGGCTCTAAGATGTCACTTATAGGCTATTCATCAACTTAGTACTTACATTATTTTGATGAATTATCATTGTTTTAAATACGGATTTTTACAAAAAATGATTTCATTATTTGGACTAAAACAATTCATCAATAAACTTAAAATAAAAATTTTAAATTTAGTGTTGTGATGTCCTTTAATAAGATAATTGGCGACCCAGTTACAGGCGCGGATACAAGGGAGGCAGTGTGAGCGCCCTCTCCCCTAATGTCAAGAAAAAATAATTAAATTATTATATCAATAATATTATGTCAAACAATGATAGAACATAGAAATTATATTTTTTTTTATAGGTTAGGTTAAGTTAGGTTAAGTTAGATTATTTTTAATCTCGCCGACTGCCGACTTATAATATAAAAATTAAATAATTTAGATAGTACCTATATTCCACAAATTAAGTTTATTAAAAAAATTTTTTTATATAACAATACTAAAAGTGTCACTTAAATCACTACTTCAACTCATACTGGCATTTTAAATTAAAATAGTTAATTAAAAACAAACTAAGTGAATACTAATGTAAGCAATAAAATATCTTGTCAACTACCGATTTAAAGCTATTCATTCAGTATTGTTGATTCTTACAAACAGGATCATTATTAATTAGTTTTGTCATGTGTGAAAATAATACTGGCCCAAGGCATCTTAAATACATACTAAAGGCAATAAAATCAGTTAATTTTGTTTCTGTACTAACAAATTACACACAAAATTAAATAAATATATTATATATATAAATATTTTTTTTTAATTATATTAATTTATGGTATACAAAGTTTTGAAATGGAAAATAAGACAGTATTTAACAAACTTATTTTAGTACACATAAAACAACTTTAAAAAAAAAGTATAATTGAGTAATTAATGTACACGACAATTATGGACAGATCAAAAAAAAAAAAAAATTGTATTATTTATTAATAAAGAAAAGTATACGAAACTTCTTTTTTTAGAAGCAATTAATTATATAATAAATTATAAATTAACACTGTACATACTATACTAATATACTGTAAACTATATACTTTACAATATATCATTAGTTTTATTTTAAAATATAAATTAGGTACGTTTAATTTTGTAGTTGTTATCTTCACCTTAACTTCTCTGTTTTATACTGCTTTAATAGCTTTTTCAACAAAGCATAATCTGGCTTTTCCGCAGGTTCCAGATTATATATCAAACGCATAGCTTCAAAATAACCTGTAAATTATAGTACAGCCATGAGTTTAAAATATCAAAAGTATTTTTACTACAATTTCTCCAAAATAATATAAATCAGATTATACTCTGTTTCACGAGAGAACTTGCCGCGTCCCGACCAAAATAGGTTTTTCTGCATATCCTCGACCGACACCCTAGCATAGGAGAACCGGTATTGATAGCAGGATGATGTGGGGGCAGGGGATATGCAAACCTAAAGTACAATAATATAACTACATAAGTAGTATATACTATATTTAAGATTCTGAATACAATAATAATGGAATGTATTTTTTTGTACATAAATTGTACTATATTTTTTTTTTTTTTTTTTTATTGTATTTCAGAACAAGTTCACTAAGAACACAATAAGCTCATAAGTCTTAATACTCATACAGCATCATCTCTTATTAAGAAAATAGTTATTGGACGTTTAACAATTAACAATAGAACATGATTATACCCAGGGGCGGAGTGGCCTGTCTGGAAATGGGAATTTTCCAGATGGCCTGGACCATACTATGGCCTGGTGGCCTGGCCATTATGTTAGATTTTTTTTAATTAAATTTAATTTACAAAATATTAGTTAATGCTAAATGTTTGTTTCTATTAATTTATTTTTTTTTTTAATTAATTAATTATTAAAGCTTTGGATATAAAATTACAAAATATTTGGCACATAAATATAGACATCAAATAAAATCAAAGCAATATAATATTGTAATAGGTCGGTTATTTTTATAATAAAACACCCATTTTAAACATTGAAGTATTTAAAAATTAGGATGAGAAATTCAATGACCAATGATTATCTTGAGTCTTTTATGCTTATGGCCATTGAAAATAAAATTCTCATGGAAATAGATAACAATATTATCACAAATGCAGTTGGAGAGAAATCTAATCTATTATCTAAATTATTACTATGAATGTATAAATCTTTTTATTATATATTGCTTACAATGTATGTATATATCTATTACTTATTAGTTTATTACCTTATATCTACTATACCTAAACAATTAAAACATAATGTATAATATAATTATTAATATTTCGTTGATTTCAACTATTAAACCAATACCTACTAATTTTATTTTTCAGACTTTCAGGAATAAGTAGGTACTTAGTGGTATATTAATATAATGTGTTAGAAGACAGAAGTTAAAAGAAATAGCAAGATAGTGATTGAAATACATTTATAATACTAAAAGTAGTTTTCAAATAGGTAAATAGAAAAACCAAATTCGAGCTTAGAGAAAAAAAATTTTGGTGGGTGGCCTGGATAAATTTTAAACTCCCGGCCTGGATTTGGTTCCCACTCCGCCCCTGATTATACCAGTGAAGTGTTTTAAAGTAAAAATTGGTGTTGCTCAAATAATATTGTTATACCGATAAACAATTTTATATTATTTATACTTTTCCTTCAAGTTATCCACAACCTGTATTATAATTCCTTCATCAAATTTACTTATTTTAGGAAATGCATATATTGTAAATTATCAACAAATGCCACTTCAATTTAAAAAAAAAAATAATATTATTTTTACTAATTTAATTTAGTAAATTATGTTTTTGATCTAGTAGAAGGCATCCTTTGGAAAAATGTACTATTCTACTTACTATATTAAACCTTTTAACGCTATATTATTATTGGTCTTCTATCAATACCAATCCACCCAACTTAAGGTGTGGCTTACATTATACGATATTGAATAATACTCTAGAGAAGTAATTCTTCAATCTTAGAAAATAGAAGACATTTTAAAGTATATGCAAGACACAGGTTTAAAGTTTAAGTTGAAATGAAGTCAAAATTGTTTTTAAATAAAATAATGTAACATTATTGTTGCTTTCAAATATTTAGATACCGGTTACAGTGGTTTATAAATTCTCACCTACCACTTTTTTTACATTATTACTGTTTATGAGAAAATCAGTTTTAAATTATTTTTTTAATGATAATATATTATAATATAATCTATACTCATTTCACATTTGTAACAAGTAGATACACATTCTTTCATTTTTGAGCATTAAATTGGTTCTTGAATAATAAATGTATTGCTATTGAAAGTTTATTGTGATGTTTTTGAATATCATCAATAACTATATGAAAAACATAGAAACATAAGTAAATTTCTTTAAAATGTAATGCTATTTGTTTTTTTTTTATTATTAATTTTTTTCTAATGAATATTATACTTAAAAGAAGCTACAAGAATCCTTTTAGTCATACCCTCTTAAACAATATAATAATCTTTTGGTATTTCAAGTTTAATAATTTATTTATCTTAATTTGTAGCTACTCTTGTCCGTGATCATTGAACCAATATTGTTTATTACATTAACTTATATTTTCCCTTGTATTAAAATACAACAAATAGGTTTAATTTAATTTAATGATTACTAACAAAAATATTCAATAAAGTAAATTTATTTTGTTGTTTTTTTCATTAAAAGAATTTATAATACTTACAATTTGGTACATTATTGAAATCATAAATTTTTTTATTTGGCTCTGCAGTTAAAATTGCATCTTTCATTTCATTTTTAGATTTAATAGTTTTTGGCAATGTTGAGTTTTTCCATGGTAATTTTAATTTTAACCATTCCAAACCATTGTACATTAAACTCTCCAGATCACCACGTCGTGTATGCACTACAAAGTAAATATAATTTTTATAAAATGTTGAGAATCTAGTAAAAAATTTAAATAAATTATTACTTCCAAGGTGGCCATCTATAGCTATATAGTTTAGTGTACCATTATTGGCACATTTCTTATCTGGCTTAACATCTTCAGTCTTATACTTAGTTACCATACCAAAATCTCCTAAATACACATGATTATTTTTCGGCTTTTTCCCAATAAATATATTTTGACATTTGATGTCCCAATGAACATATCCACATTCATGTATGAACTCTAAAGCATCAACCTATACAAATAAAAATAACTAAAAAAAAGTACAAATTTATGGAACGTTATTAAAAAAAATTGATTATTTACAATTTGTCGAACAATGTTAATGACAGCACCTAGTAGTAAACTATCTGAAATAGTTTGAAGAAATGCCTCCAAATCTTTATCAAACTTTTCAATTACTATAAACCTATATTTGTTGCCATTGTGAATAGTGCTTCCAAAACCATAGAATCTTGGCAGTGGTAATTCTTTCAACTTTTTGATTGTCACCCATTTTTTAACATCTAAAAGTAAAAAAATAATTGAATCATAAATGTAAATTATTTTGTCTATACTTTGTTTGCCAAGAGAAGGTGGTTACTTCACACATTCAACTATATTCAAAGAGTTTGGTTGTGGGGATTTGGGTGGTTGCAGTGAGGAACAACAAGCTTTGGTTTGTGCACAACCACATTTTCTCGGCAGGCAGAGTATAATATTATAAGAAAAAATACTTAAATACCTTCTTCCTTCACGTTTTTGAGATAAAACATTCGTTCTACAAATAGGGGTCCACTTTCCATATTTTCCTATCACCATTAAATTTAAGCTCAATTAAGAATAATTTATTTTATTAATCCAATTACATGATATAATTAATTCAAACGAAGATAAAATAAAAACAAAATTATTTTCCAACACATTGTATGAGATAAACCAAAAGATATTATAACATAATACTAAAGTAAAATAATTTTGTTTAAGTTTTAAATTGTATGTAATTACTTATTAGTATTTTTGTTTATACCACACAATTAGTATTACTAAAGATAACATACCGTTTTTATTGCATATTCTGTTTTTGTTCTACACTTATGTTTAGTTCCTAAAAAATACATTATAAATAAGGATTTATTGTTTATTATAATTTATAATTAATAACTAATAACTTAACCAACCACAATAAACATATCCAAATCCTCCACTACCAATTATATTTTGAATTTCCCATTCGACACCTTTAATATCTTTTAATAATGATCCTGGTGGTAATTCTTCCTTTGGTGTGGTTTTTGCTTTTTTGCTCATATTTCACCTTTAATTAAAATGAAAATGTACATGTTATTAAGTTCAACTCTTTAAGATAATAAATTAATATGATCAATAGTTCCCACTAGAATAACCATATATTATGCCCATAGTTAAATATGGCCCCTTTTTTATTTAAGAATGTCATATTAAAGTCATATATTTTGTAAGGTCTTTTAACACTGCAGTGGTGGTGATAAAATGGTATTGTCTTGGCTGTGCCTATGCGATAATGGTAAATTGTGTCCGCATTTTATTATTGTCGTAGTAAGCGTGGACCTTTATTCAATTAATTAAATTAAGATTTCATAAAGAATTGTTTAATATTTTAAAAATTAAAAGTTAATACTTATATAAATACTTTAATATATCAATAGAGATGCTATTAATCAGTACTGTTTTAAGTAGGTATTATACCCAAAAATAAATAATTTAAATTTTTCATTAGTTAATAACTTTTTATAATAATATCAGTTATACAATGAGTTCCGCTAAATGTGACCACTGGTTTATGGAATCAACCGTTTATTGGAATCAAAAAAGAAAATCCCAAACCAAATATTATATTGAAAAAACATGCTTTATGGAATAAACTGGTAAATAGAATCAAAATGGCCTGAACCAATGTGATCACATTATGCGGTACTCACTGTACTAGTAATTCTTATCTTGAAGTTTCAGCTTTATATTGGATTATATTCATGATCTAACAAACACTTTAAAAACATAATATAAAAACTCATTTGCCCACATTAAGCGGTATGCCACATAAACCGAAATTAGTTAGTAGGAATTCATTGGAATTGGAACCAGACCATTTTGCCCATATTACGTCGATGCCCATATTAACTGGTGCTCACATTAAGCAGAATCCACTATAATAGCTTCTTTGTATAAATATGTCTCAAAACAAAAACTACAGGAGAAAATTAGGAAATTAGTTGTAGACCGTAGAACCATCTCACTTAGTCCAAAAATAATAAATTTCTTAATAAAAATAATATTTTATCTTGTGCATGCACAAATAATATATAACATTTAACATATTTTAGGAAAGTGGTTCAATCACTAAAATGCATAAAGAAAAATATTTTATTTTAATAATAGGTGGTTGCTACTTATAAAAAAATAAGTTATACTAAGCATGCGTACAATTTCAGTACCCACACGTAAAAAAACTTGGTAGATTATTGAATCTAACTGAATTTAACTCATGTTTAAAATTAGATCTCTACAAAGGTATGTCGAGTTATGGAAAGTTTCCATTGATCGTGGACAAACTGTATATTATATTTTTTAAATTGTAGGTGGATTGAATGATTGATATAAAATATATAAAAGTAAGAACTTCTTTGAGGTATCACCCCCTGTAAGTATTATGATTATTGATTATAAATGAACTATGATAAATTGATAAATCATATTAAACGCAAAAAGGGAAAATTATAATTACCAATCAAGAGGATGTCAGAGCACTATTTGTTTTCTCTCACTGACCCATGCGCAATTTAGACAAAATGCATTTGAGCAGAACCGTTTTTTCTATGTTTTGAAGTAATCTTAGAGTAAAATCACCCATTACAAAAAAGATAGAGAATAATATTTTTGAAGGAATGACATCGATTTGTCTAAATATTGTTTCAAAACAATTGAAACATCATTTAAATTTACAACATTTTTTTGTTTGTTTTGAAAGTCAAATAACAATAAAATATAAAAACGATATGTCATTCAATCTGAAATATTATTCTCTATCTTTTTTTAAATGGGTGATTTTACTCTAAGATTACTTAAAATCATAGAAAAAATGATTCTGCATTAATTTGTCTTGTCTATGTTGCGCGTGGGCCAGAGAGAGAAAACGAATAGTGCGCTGACATCCTCTTAATGAATTTCTCAATTGGGACTTACTGAAATTTGTTTTGAACATTATGCCAGTGAATATGATTATTTATGGAGTTAAAATAATTAAGCTCCAAAAATATTAAACTATGCATCAAATCTCCGACAAATTTTAATAACCATTATTTACATATCTACAACATACACAAATTATGTAGCTACTCACTAAAGTTACATACAAAATAATTGCTTCAAGCGATTCATTTTAATTGATTGTTTATAATATTATGTCTATTGTTACAATTATAATGATGCATAAAATGTATGCTTTACAACCGTTTAAGCACATACACTTACGAAATTATATTTAACGCAGAAAATGTCTCGGTAGTCAGTTGAGTGAAAGTTTAAAATAACATGTAAGAACAAACAATTTACAAAACAAAATATGAAAGGTACAATAAGCAAACTATTTAACTATTATACTTTAAAAAATGATTTAGCAAGTAGCAACCTTTTATTGTAGCAGTCGGCAGAACAGACCATCGTCCGTTTAGTCTTGGTACAAATTGCCGTTTTGGTGTAATTTTAAATTGTCATGTCAATTATTAGATAAGACAACCATTTCCCGTTAATTTCACCCTTATCACTTCTTGATAAGGTGGTAACCACAATAGTGAATATTTAGTTGCCTGTGTATTACTTTTAAGGGGTACTAACAAATTTATTCTTTTGAATGCAACATTCAACAGGGGTCTAATATTTATTACAATATTAATTATGCATATGGTTTAATTTAAAGCCAAGTTATTAAAATATAAATATAATTTATGTTTAGGTTCATAGAAAAAAATTAAGTGTATTGAAATTTAAGCGTTTGGTGGCTTATTGTATTATTTTATATAAGATGTAACTGTTATAACTCCAGTCCAACCAGAACCAAAACAATTGTGTTTGTGATTATTATGAAAAATATAATTTTTAAATACTAACCAGCCTTTTAAATTGACATAAATTAAATATATTTTAAATATAAATAATTTTAAGTCAGTGGCCATCAAGGTGGATTTATTTGTCTCTGTGTCAATGATTGAGCCTAAAAATTAATTCCAGCCAGAAAATCCTTCCAACTGTTCCACAATCATTTTCAGAAAAAAGCCAAAAAATATACAATGGGTTTAAAAAAGAATTAAAAACCCTTTTTAGCCCTTTATATCAATTAATAAACACATATTTTTTTCACAAAACTTATGTCAGGAATAAAAAAATATTTTTATTTTAAAAATATAATTATCTTTACCCTTGAGCAAACAAATTAAAAGCTCTTTTTAGTTATTAGTTGTATACTTACATTTTACAATAAACCAGGGACTGAAACCTTGATGATTTTTACGGTTTCGGTTCCAATTTGGTTCCCAGAAAAATTAAAATTTAGGTTTCAGTTTCAGTTTCTTTTCGGTTCTTAAAAATAAAAAAATTGTTACCTGTTTTTGGTTACCTATATAATTATGTAAAAAAATTTAAAAACTAAAAGAATCGGTCCAGTTTTTAAATTAATTTAAATAAGGGTTCCGGGATTAAAATTAATATAAATAAGAGTTTCAGTTCCAAAACGGGTTCTTTTCGGTAAGTTTCCAGTTCTTGCAATAAACTAAAATCAACCTATAGCAAACCTATGTATTATAATATATTATTGCACATATTATAATATATTATTAAAATTTAAAACTATTATAAAGCTGTATTTGGGGAGAGGGAACCGCTCAAACGGTATAACTACTTAAAGAAGACAGCAAGCTAAAATAACATTGCTTTCCAAAACACAAACAACATTATTTTACACGACTTAAGTTTTTTTTTTTTATTTATTGAACAAGACATTAAATCATTATAAGATAACATGATAAACTGAAATAAAGTATAACATATTTCTTTTGTAATTATCCCAAAGAAATATAATATGATTAGTGATTACATTTTAATAATTTGAATAATAATAAATATATAATATTGTTTATGATAATAAACATGGAATTCAGTCATAAAATACTAATTAAATAAATACATAAATGTTTTCTAGTAAAAATTACTATAAAAATTAAAATCGTCTCAATTGTTAACAACTACTGAGTACTGAAAAAAAATATTTAACACAAAAGTTAATACAATGTGTGAAGGATAAAAAAAATATTAAACATTAAAATATACTTTAAAACCAAACACACATTTGTGCTCTCTCCATCGATTATTTATCAAATTTATCAAATCAGTTCAAATAATTATTTTTACAGTAAAACAGTATAAAGAATACTGTACCAATAATTATTCATAAATTTTGCTTAGCACACAGACCCTGCAATAATTAAAAAATTTAAGTTGTATGCCAAAGAAAAATCAAAATACAAAATATTTTATAACTATAAAAAAAAACATTTAACAAATGTCTAATAAATTGAGAATATTCAACCAATAAATCACGAAACAATACAAAATACTCAAGGTAGATTTACAGAAAATGGCACATTTATAAACTGTAAAAGGAACAAAATTATTATCTATGCTTGTCTTGGAGTGCTTAAGCTGAACTTATGAATTATCTAATGTGATTATTTAGCTTGAAAAATAATATGAGACTTTTGATTCATAAACACCAAGTTAAGCTTAGAGCTAAGACCCACATTATCGATATACAACAATTTAGCTTCATTTTGCTTAGAGTATTTGACTACAACTGCAGTACCAGAAACACGAACAGAATGAGACTCATTGTCAGATTTATCACTTTTCAACATCACTTGACATGTAACATCCACATGGATGTACTTTGTCACTGTTACTCCATTTGTGCTTTTTACCTAAAATTTAAAAGATAGTTTTCAATTTTATATTAAAATTAAAACTAATATTACCCTTACAATACATTGTTGATCCTCAATTTGAGGATTATCACTGCGGAACACTGTGGCTTCACCAATACGCTGAGTGTCATCCATGACATCAAACTTCATGCCACAAAATACAGCTTGAGGTTCAAACCCATAACCCTCTGGATACGAATCACTCCAGAAAAAGTTGGTGTTATTGTTGAGTCTATGGCTGTCAGGTTTAAATGTCATACGTTTTCCATATCCCATTCCAATGTTGACCAATTGTAATGCATTGCCTTCAAACAAATAATTCTTATGCCCTGTTGGGCGAACTTTATAATGAAAACCAGGCATGATTCTTGGGTCAACATAAGTACCTAAAAAAAAGTTAAGTTATTGCACACTACCATACGGGATCAAGCGTTGTTGCTTACCAATCACAGGCAATTCGTATGGTTCTAAGCCTGTCATTGTGTACATAGTGGGTGCATCGCCAATACTACATCCATTTAACACCAATTGCCGTTGTTTATCATCTACACCAGGTATTAAGGTGTAACCTCGACATGGTATAAAACCAATAGAGGCATCTGATATCTTTATAAGCTTTGCTGATCCACGTGGTAGTTTGGAAGCCACAGCAATACCAGTGACCTAAGTAGAACAATTAAAATTCATTAAAAACATTTCCACGATGTAAGGCTCTTTAAATTTGAT